CCGTAAAACTCCGAAGTTAAGCGAGAAGGGGGCTAGAGCACTCCCAGGATGGATGATCCACTGGGAAGTTGCTCGTGAGTTCCCAGAAATATAACCGTGAGGGCGTAATCGGGGCTCAAAGCAGACAATATTGTGCTACGGTGGTGGAGCCGGTCTGGGAAGTGATCCGTCCCGGGCCGGGATGTGACATTTTTTATTAAGATCGAAATACGGATAATACATCACGTATTTTTATATAAGTTGTTAAAATTTTATTTTTTAATTTATTAAATTTTTACGTGTTTTGTTCACAATGAAAAATCTCTTCGAGCATTGAGCGTTAAATCCCCTTAGGGACTTTCATTCGGCAGGCCTCGTGCTTTTCTTCCTACCCACAACAACAAAAGAGGTTTCCTACAGACTGCCTTTCGAGTTTGAAGGAGAGGAACTTTGGTTGCAACTCCCATTCATCAAACAGTGATTTTTATTATTATTATTATTTTTGTTATTGAAGCATGCGCTCCCTTTTTCACCTCATGACACATAAACGATGTCATATGAAGCTACCAGGACCGTATGTCAAATCAATTATGTACATATAAAAGTTAAAATGCATGAAAATACGTAATTAATTTGAAATACTACAACAAAAACATTTAAGATTATCTTCATTTGTACTCCTTTATCTTTTTTTCTCCGTTTTTAGTGATAGTGAGTTAGATTGTTAAAAGTTAAGGAAAAAGAGATTGATAGGAATCCAACCAGGCCCCAAAACGCATGACATTGTTTTCTGTCAATAGTAAAACGTCATATGCATTTATTTCTACCGTCAATTCTCTTTTAGTTTACCCAAAAAACGGAAGAGGATCACCCTAGGGTGTGCAAGGATACATTTGATGAACAAAATGGGCCAGAGGATCACCCTAAGACGAGCAAGGAGGCCCTTGCCTTCCGTGGGCTAGATGCAGTGTCGGACCTGAGGGGCAACCCACTGGGACCGGGGGCCAGAAGCAGGGTATCGTCTGAATCAAATGGGGGACGGAGTGGCTCGGAACGGTGGAATGACGAAAGAAGTGATGAACCGGGGTGCGGTAAACGCTCTGGACGGTCCTCGACGGCTTCCGGAATGGGATGTCAACCCCAGAAACCGGCGAGTAGAACTCAAAGTGGCAGTGAATGCACCGCGCTGGTGGAAGAGGAAGTTATTGACACTGCAACTTCGCCAAATAAGCCAAGGTGGTCATCCAACAAAATGGAACACATCGATAATACGCTTGCTGGAACAATCCGACATCAACGGATAGCCAAGGAAGAGGCGAGGTATGCGAGAGAACTGGCATTTGATGCAGGGCTAATTGGGCCGGGGGGAGCGGTGGCTGCGGGAGCGGAACATGTGGTGCTTAATGAACATTATGAGCAGGGAGGACGGATGGATATGGCCAGTGTGTCATTGAATGGAGATTCTACCTTTGACCTTAATCTTGTGCCTGGCATGGGTAATGATAGGGACAATGTGAGTGTTTGTGGGAGGAAAGCTAGTGACGATGGGGGGCGCGGGAGTGGCAGAGACCTGGCTACGGATGATGATCCCTTTGAGCTGGATGCGATCATTGAAGCTGTGACGAATGAGAACAAGGGTAAAAAGAGAGTCCTCAGAGAGGAGGAGGTTGATGAGGCTAACCAGTGGGTGGGAGCTAAACGTTCCAAACTTAGCAGGAAGGCACCTGCAGAGGCGGAGGAGACCAGCCGTGAGGGGTCTCCCAGAGCTAAATGAGGCTACTTACTTGGAACTGTCAGGGTATTGGGGGTGACCTGACAGTTGACAATCTGATGGAGCAGAATAGGCTCCACACCCCCGACATTGTAGTTTTGCTGGAAACCAAGAATAAAAGTAGTCGTTATGGGTACCTTAAGAAACGGCTAGATTTGGAATACATGCATGTTGTGGAACCTAGGCGGATGGGGGGAGGCCTCTGTGTTTTCTGGTGGGATGCTGCCCAGGTAACTCTGGTGAAATCTGAGGACTTTGTTATTGAAGTAAAAATTTGGGATGAGCAAAAGAAGAGTCACTGGTATCTGTTTGCTATCTATGCCAGTACTAATGAGAAAAAAAGGCGGGAACAATGGGGGTATTTGAGTAGACGGCTTGGGAATTGTAGGGAAAAGTCTCTGCTAATCGGGGATTTTAATGACATTCTGTGTAACGACGAGAAAGAGGGGGGTAATTATAGACCAACGTCTAGTATGCGTGACTTCAGAGGATTTGTTGCTCAAAATGAGCTAATGGATCTGGGTTTTGTTGGCTACCCGTTTACGTGGCGGAACAACCAGGCGGCAACGCCTATTCAACAACGTCTGGACAGGGGTTTGGCCACAATGGACTGGCAGGAATTCTTCCCGGAGAACACAATCAGGCATGTGATCCTGGAAGGGTCCGATCATACTCTGCTCCTTTTATCCACGGAGAAAGTGACTGATTGGAGAGGAAGGAAATTCTCTTATGATGCTCGCTGGAGCAACACGGAGGAGTGTCGACAACTGGTGGTTGAGGAATGGAGGGACAAACATGGGGGGTCACACGCCTTTCGTTTTTGTGAAAAACTGAAAGCCTTAAGACACAGGCTAAATGATTGGTATAGGGGTAGAGGGAGAAACTCGAAGAAAGCTATTGAGCGCCTGAAAGAGGAGATAAGAGTGGCGTATATGTCTCCTGATTTTGCTTCGGACGTGGTTAAGATGAAGGAGAGAGAGCTTAGAGCAACACACCGAAATGAAGAAACCTACTGGAGGATGAAATCGCGGGCCCAATGGTTAAAGGATGGTGACAAAAATACTAAGTACTTCCATGCGCAAACGCTCAAGAGGAGAAAGTCTAACCAAATTAAGGGATTGGAGGATATGAACGGAGTGTGGCAGGAGGACGAAGCGGTGATATCCTCCATTGCCAAATCTTATTTTGCAGATTTATTTAAGTCGAGTAACCCGAGACAAATTGATGAGGTTGGGGAATGCATGGCACCACGGGTGTCGGGCGAGGACAACATTGGCTTGACGGTTGCGGTGTCCGAAGAGGAAATAAAAGTTGCTGTCTTCCAAATTCCCCCAACCAGGGCCCCGGGCCCGGACGGGTATTCGGGATGTTTTTACCAGGATCATTGGGATACTGTGGGCAAGGATGTGATCAAGATAGTCAAAGCCTTATGGCATTCGGGTACCATGCTGAGGAAACTGAATCATACCAACCTTGTGCTTATTCCTAAGGTTAAATGCCCGAAGAACATGACGCAATACCGGCCTATTGCACTGTGTAATGTAATCTACAAGGTCATTGCCAAGGTTCTCACTAATCGTTTAAAGCGGGTGATGCCAAAGGTGATTTGTGACAACCAATCCGCCTTTGTGGCGGGGAAACAAATTCAGGACAACATACTGGTGGTCCATGAGCTCCTACATTCACTGCTGCATCAAAAAACAGGTGAACAAGCTGGTATGGCTATAAAGCTCGACATGGCTAAGGCGTACGACCGCATGGAATGGGTGTTCCTATTATCTATGATGGTGAAAATTGGGTTCGCACCTTTATTCTGCAAATGGATCATGGAGTGTATTTCCACTGCCTCTTTTAGTATCCTTATAAATGGAAATCCGACTGGGTTTGTACTGCCGGAGAGAGGGCTACGACAAGGAGATCCGTTATCTCCCTATCTCTTCCTTATTTGCACGGAAGGTTTTTCTATGCTTATTAGGAGAGGCTTGGAGGTGGGTGGCCTTCACGGGATCAGGGTGTCGACTAATGGGGACCCGATCTCGCACCTGTTTTTTGCGGATGACTCGGTGCTATTCGGTCATGCTTGTGTGGAGGAGGCGAGAGGAATCCTCGAGGTGCTTCGGACCTACTCCAACGGATCTGGGCAAGCTGTTAATCTTTCAAAAAGCTCTATCTTCTTTGGCTCAAAGACCCCGAACAGGGTTCGGAGATTGAGCGGGCAGACAATGGGGATCCAATGCAGGACTGGGTTTGGCAGGTACCTTGGGCTGCAAGCCGATTTTGGCCTTTCAAAACGAGTGGTCTTTGAAGAGATACGGGACAGGCTTGAATCGCGGCTGGCCGGTTGGGCTGAGCAATTTCTTTCTCAAGCAGGAAAGGAAGTCCTCGTCAAGGCAGTCGCCATGGCGATGCCTAACTATGCCATGAGCTGTTTTAAGCTTCCCATTGGGGTCTGCAGAGATCTGGAGAGAGCTATCCGGAACTTTTGGTGGAGAGGAAGTGAGCAAAGAAGGGGGGTCCATTGGATCTCATGGGAGAGATTAATTAAACAAAAACGGTTTGGCGGACTGGGTTTCAGGGACCTCCAGTGTTTCAACCTGGCCTTCCTTGCCAAGATTGGGTGGAGGCTGATCCAGAACCCGGGGTCTCTGCTTGCTAAGGTTTTGAAGGATAAATACTATCCTGGGAAGTGCTTCTCCGAGGCGGGAAAGGGTAGGAACACGTCCTGGGGATGGAAGGGCATATTTGAAGCCCGTAAGGTGATTCTACATGGCCTGCGATGGCGGGTAGGGGACGGAACCTGTATCAACATCAGGGAGGACCCGTGGTTTCCTAAACCCTCTACCTTTAGAGTTGTGCCATTGGGCAATTTGCAAGCCTCTTTGGTTAGCGATTTAATTGATCCGGGGTCCAGCTCATGGAATTCTGATATGATTACGGCTAACTTTCAGTGGGATGACGTGCGGGCGATCTTAAGCATCCCTTTAAGCAAGACCGGGAGTCGGGACCGGTTGGTGTGGCACCACACTGTGAATGGGAATTACTCGGTTCGATCGGGTTATGGTGTAACTATGGATCTTATGGACAATGGGGCTCTGGCAGAAAAGGACGTGGGTCTACTAGTGCTAAACCTAAAAACTGCTATGCTTGGAACCTGATATGGAAACTTAAGGTTCCCAACAAAATTAAAAACTTCATCTGGCGCTGCTGTAACAATGCCCTGGCTGTTCGACGTAACCTGGAGCGGCGACATATGAGGGTGGACAACGTTTGTGGTGTATGTGGTGCGGCGGATGAATCGGAAACTCATCTCTTCTTTCGCTGTCACCTTAGTCACCTGTTCTGGTACTCATCATCGCTTCAGTTAAACTCCCTTGAGCTGGCAGGTGCTGATTTCCTTTCTAACTGGGAGTCATTCTGGACTCGGGTCAAGGGGAGGGATCACGCGGAGGGTATCATGCAGGAATTTGCCTTTGGATTATGGAGACTATGGAAAAACAGGAATGAGGTGGTCTTCAATGGTGTGCATCGGCAGCCTTTGGAGATCCTGGATTCCTGGAGAAGGAACATCGCTGAATTCAATGAAGCTACGCTATGTCAGACTGCGGGAGTCCAGGCTAGGGGACGACCGAGGACATCTTCGCTGGAACGCGGGGTCTGTCGGTGGGTGAAGCCGGCGTTTGGGACTCTCAAAGTTAACACAGATGCCTCGTGGTGTGGGAAATCGTTCCGGACCAGGGTGGGATGGGTTTGTCGGGATTTTGCCGGTCTGCTTCATGGCGCGGGGGGCTCCGGAGCTGAGCTGTACCACTCCGCGGCGGCTGGGGAAGCGGCTGCAATCAGGACAGCTCTTATGGCTTGCATCGACTACGGGTACGATAATGTTATTATTGAATCTAATGCCAAAGTGATTATTCAGATGATTAGACATGAACTGGTTTTTGATTTCAGTCTTGAATGTATTCTTGGTGATATTGAGGTACTAGCGCGTAGGTTGAGGTCTGTTTCGTTCTCTGCCGTGCCTAGGGAGAGCAATGTTGCTGCTCACTCGGTTGCTAAGTTTGTGTTTAAGGAGGGTCGTAAATTTGGGTGGGACTATATTGGGCCTGAATTTTTGTTTAACATCCTAGCCCAGGATGTAAATCTCCCTATTAGAATCTAATATATCTCTGTCTTCCGGAAAAAAAAAAAAAAAAAACGGAAGAGCGAATGAGAAAAAGAAGGATATGATAAAGCCTCCTTTTCAGATTGAAGGAAAATTTATTGTAAAGTGATTTTCTGGCACGCTTTCTTTCACCTCGCGATAGGGCTGGTTTTGGGATTTTCTAGATTCGGGACGATGCAAAAAAATATTCCCTCACTTTATATAAGAAAAAAAATTTGGTTTCACATGTAAGACATCAATAAAATTATATTTAGAAAAATATTTCAAACTTAATAATTTAGAAATACATAAAACTAATTTATTTTGTATCGTGAGAAAGAAACAGAAAAACTCTGGGTTTACAAGTAGATAGATATAAGTTTTGTTTTCCATCTAAATTGTTAAAGTGTTTTCGTATAAACCGTGAGGTGTTTTTTCTTATTTACAAATCTTGTCAATATGAGACTAAAAAAATAATGATGTTTTTGAATCTTTAATTGATACTCTTATGAAAAGAAATTTGTAAAAATTAAAAAGTAAATAAGCACACATCACCAAAAAATAAATAAACACACATGGTGTTTTGAACCCAAGACCTCCTCATTAATTTCAAACAACAAAACCACCGGTTCTAATTAAATTTATTTATCATTTAAACAAATTTTATAAATTTATACTCTTATGAAAACATATATAAATATACTATCCTAATAATTTTGATGCCCCAAGTTATTTTAAGCCCTGGTCACCCTGCCAGCACAGGACCTGGGCCGCCCTGCCTCGCGACACCAACAACAAGGGAACTTCCATGCCATGAGTCCATTGCTAATGTATGTCACACCAAACACGTTAAAATATTAGAATAGGGAAATTTGGGTGATTGAATTACAGTATCGTCACGGTTCAACATCGGAACCAGCCCCACCTTAGACTTTTTTTGGGTGGAAATTTTTTCTGTGTGCCATTATTCATGGATCTCGTAATCTTGATGGGCAAATTCATCTTCTCTTCATATTGTTATTAGTTGGGAACAGCTCAGCTACAATCATTCCTCTTTTTTCTGTCGACTTCATGATAAAGTGATTCTCTTAGACTAACTTTTTCTTTCTCTTTCTCTTTTCTGTGAGAAAAATAACTTCAAATACATCAAGCAAAGCGTTCGAATGAAATGCAATTTCTTTTAAATAAAAATTATTAATTAGCACCACAAATCTGCAGGAAATTGGATTAACCGCAACGGATTTGGATCCACATATTCTATACATTTATCATACATCGTAAGGTCAGAAATTATTATGAATTTTTTATTTAAGATTAAACGTAAAAAGTATCTAACGAAAACTGACCGTACAATGTAGATAAATAGATAAAATGTAACTATAGGACCCATAATTGATCCTCATCCGACCGCAATGGCATCATTGGCATGCCATCAAATGTGAAAAAACTATTTTATTTGCTTTACGTACTTTTTACTCATCTTCATGAAACCATACCCTGCTAAGTTTCTCCAGTTCAGACTCCGTGGGTGATTTTTCTTGTTGCTGACACGCTTTCTCTCACCTCAGCTCTTCTTCCACAATTACCCCTTTATAATAAACAGAAGTTTGCTTTTTCTTTTTTCTTTTTTATTTTTTTAATTTTATGTTTTAATTTTATTAGAAGAATAAAAGAAGAATTCGAAACTATTACAATAATTTAAAAAATGAGAAGTTTTGAACTCGAGATGTATGAATGAAATCTAACATCCTGTTCATTAGAATATTAAACTGCGTGCCTTTTTCATAGTGCAACTTTAATAATTCCATGAAGAACAATGTTGCTGATTAATGTACCTTCATAGCTAACAATTAAAAACAAATCACACATTTAATTAGTGATTTTTTTTTCTTTGCTATATTTCGGAGAATTGTGGAAAAGAATGTAAAAACACAAATTGAGAGCAATATTACATGATATTAACAAAAAATGCACTTGAATATTTATCTATGTTTCTATCCAAAACGCACTGGTAATTACTAAAGTCAAGTATGAGTTGCTTGCTAGAGATCTAAATAGTAAAAATGAAAAATACGCAATTAACTTAAAATATTGTAATAAAACACTTAAGATTTTCTTCATTTGTACTCTTTTTACCCTTTTTTTATCCGTTTTTAATACTAATGAGTTAAATTATTAAACGTTAGAAAAAAAAGACCAACAACTTGCAACAAAACGAATAACATTGTTGTTTTTCACCAATAATAAAATGCCTTATGCATTTGATTCTACCGCCAATTCTCTTTTAATTTACCTAAAAAGACGGAAGAGTGAATGAGAAAAGAAAAATGTGATAAGAGGGAACAGCTAAAAAGATTCCTTTCGGACAATTTTTTGGTAGTGATTTTGACAGAAAACGAATAAAAGGACATCGCCCATTTCATCTACGATCTTCAAATTATAATTAAAGTGGTGAGAGAGAGAGTGTTACGACGCCAAAATAAAAGGTATTAATTACAAATCAAATCAAGAGCAATAAATACACATATTTAATTATCAAAATGTCCTACGAACTAGCACAAAATATCAGAGTGCGCAACGAACGAGACTAACAAAATAATAAGAGTATTATTAAACAAACTGAGAATGCCAAGACGGTTACAAAAATCCTAGAGACTACATTGTGACTAACTTGATTAAAACTAACTGATACAAGCACTACTATATATAGTGAAAACTAAAGAAAAACCTAATCCTTAAAGGATATAGAAAACTAAAGCACAATCCTAACCCCAATAGGCAAGGAAACGAAACCCTAATACTAATGGGCAAGAAACTCTAATATCCTTGTCCCACAAGAAAACCACAAACAATAATAAAATAATAACTAAATTTTCCAACAAGTTTCACTACTCCTGTCGTCTTTGCACTTGTACCATATTACCCTACGGTCAACTTTATTTATTTATTTTTTGCATAAGTATGAACCGTCAACTTTGTTTGCTAACTATTAATTTCTGCATAACTAAATTGACAATTATTGTAGTTTCTTACCCTTTATATTTTATTTTAGATGGGTTAGGTCTTATGTTCCTCATCTTTCTTATAAGGTAAATTATCAAAATGGTCCCTGAGATTTGCATAACTCATCATTTTGGTCTATGAGATTCCAAAACGATAAAAGTGGTCCCTGAGATTTTCCTAAATCAATCATTTTGGTCATTCCGTTAAGTGTCCCAGAGAAAGTTTGGGTAATTTTCAAAGCTTCATAACTCAATCGTTTCTTAACCAAATTAGACTCATAATATATCAAAATGAAGATAGGAAAGTGTATAATAAAATTATACCTATTTCAAAGCCCAATGATTGCCGGAGATGGCCGGAAAATAGCCTCAAAGTTGACTGATCCGAGTGAAAACTTGAAAACTCGCCGGAAACTTGGTAAACTTTAAACGTTCATAACTTCTTCAATACTCAACAAAATCAAGTGATTCAGAAATAAAAATCATACTTCTCGACGAGACGAAGAGAATGGTACCTTTTTTATGGCTAAATCGCCGTGGTTTGGCTGGAAAATTGCTCGAAAGTAGCTGTCTTGGTCTACTTTCGAGCCATTTTCCGGCCAAACCACGGCGACTTAGCCATAAAAAAAGATACCATTCTCTTCGTCTCGTTGAGAAGTATGATTTTCATTTTTTAATCACTTCATTTCGTTGAGTATTGAAGAAGTTATGAACGTTTAAAGTTTACCAAGTTTTCGGCGAGTTTTCAAGTTTTCACTCGGACCAGTCAACTTTGAGGCTATTTTCCGGCCATCTCTGTCAATCATTGGGCTTTGGAATATGTATAATCTTATTCTACACTTTCCTATCTTCATTTTGATATATTATGGATCTAATTTGGTTAAGCAATGATTGAGTTATGAAGCTTTGAAAATTACCCAAACTTCCTTTGGGACACTTAACGGAATGACCAAAATGATGGATTTAGGAAAATCTCAGGGACCACTTTTATCGTTTTGGAATCTCATAGACCAAAATGATGAGTTATGCAAATCTCAGGGACCATTTTGACGATTTACCCTTCTTATAATATTTTCTGTTTCAAGAAGGATAAAGTTTATATCTTCTTCTTTTCTTGTAATATTTTTATGTTTTAGAGAGGTAAGGTTTGTGTCCCCTCTTTTTATCCATATTTCTTTTTCCTTGAATTTAAGGGGTGAGGTTTATATCCTCAAAACTAGATGTAATTTTTCATTTTGATTAATAAAATTCTCTTGTACCACGTCGATTTTCCACAAAAATTAAAGTTAGGTTCTTATTTTTTGGACCAACGTTAGCGTTATTAGGTTAAATTGTTAGTTGTTATGGGGAAAGGAGCGGTGGGGATCGAACCACACCAGGATGCATATGCATGATTGTTTTTCGCCACTATGATAAATATTCATTTGAAAATTTACAAAACTACTATTGCACCCAAATTTAATATAATTATGATACTGCCACCGCGTTTTGTCATAATCATTAAAGAAAGTTAATTAAGTGTTTTTGGATGAAAAAGGTTTGTGACATGCTTTTCATTAGTTTTCTAATTCTTCTTTTGTAAAATAAAATAGAGAATGGCACGAAAAAATGAGTGCTAACAACCACCGCTAGAATACGTACTCCCTCATTCGATAGCTTTGTTAAATGGCAAGTCTATGTGTGTGTTTGTGTGTGTGTGTGTATATATATATATATATATGAAGAAATGGCCATTCAACAAAGCTGGAGATGGATAAGAGCTAGTAATTAAGGTCTTACTTGGTATCCTACCCAAAAATTTTGGTTGTTTCAAAAAATAATTTTCAAATAACATTACTTAAAAACAGTTTTCTTTTAAGTCTCAAAATTTCAAAAATATATTTGGTTGAATTTTTAAAAATATTTTTTTTTTTAGTTTGAATTCAAACTTCCTTGAACAAAAATTGGAGGAGAGAAAGAATTGGGAAAGATAAAAGAAAGAGGAAGTAGTTGGCAAGGAGAGAGGAAGTAGTCTGC